ATCAACTGCTCCTTCAATGAAAACATATATAATGTAGAGCAAAAAAAATGTGGACTGTATTTGATGATGGTGCGATTCTTGATTGATTGATTGATTTGTGGGGTTTAACGTCCCAAAACAACCATATGATTATGAGAAACGCCGTAGTGGAGGGCTCCGGAAATTTCGACCACCTGGGGTTCTTTAACGTGCACCCAAATCGGAATACACGGGCCTACAACATTTCCGCCTCCATCGGAAATGCAGCCGCCACAGCCGGGATTTGATCCCGCGACCTGCGGGTCAGCAGCCGAGTACCTTAGCCACTAGACCACAGTGGCGGGGCCATGGTGCGATTCTTGGTTGTCAACTGATAAACAGAGCAATAAAAGCACTGGGCCAAAAATTTCAATCCGAGGAAAACTCAAAATATACATTTTGATGATAAAGAACAAAGGAAAAGTATAAAAGTTATAAATGTTCTACACAATGTTCTTACTAACGTAGACAAAAGATATTTACACTAGGATACTGCTTCATTGCTCAGGTCACGCGGGGAACAATTTATTAGTTTTTCAGGGACACAGGTGCACCTGTGCACTTTCTATATACATTTTATTGTTTTTTAACAAAAATAGCCTGCTAGTGTTCTAAAATAGAAGGATGTCCCCAGTGTGAACAATGCCTGCATAAATAGGATGTCCATCAAACTTCTCCAGTTCGTCTGGCGTGCCCTCTTTCCACGAGCCACATCTCTCCACATATGTTGGTGTTCAAAAATCTGCATCAGAATTAATTTATTTGTATTTTCACAGACAGTATTGAAAAAAAAAGAAAACGATGTCACGCGCAGTCCAAAAAGCTCTCGCGCTGCAATGTAGTATGGGGCCCAGATATGCGACAGCGGCCTTATCGTGAGGAGAAGCACTGCAGTCGGCACCAGCGCATAGCACCCCAGCGGCGCGTAGACCGCGCACGTAATCAAAGTAGCTCTAAGGAGGATGATTGAAAGAGGAAGGACAGCGAGGTTAGCCCGTTCTCAGACCGGCTGGCTACCCTGTAGGCTGGAAAGAAGCGCATAGTATACCTTCTTGGTAAAACCATCTCTAATAGCTATGTCCGTGAACTTTTGAAAGAACATAACACTAAAAACAGTGTGAAGAAAAAAGTTAAGATGTACTTCCCTTCTTGTAAGGAGCCTTAATTGTATTACTTATTATAAATATTTCTTTTGTGTCGTTCGTGCTTTTGCATATTAGATGAAAATCGCACAATTTCTTTCTTTTCAAGTGTATTTCTCTGTGGTACTTAGTAATTATGTCATAAATTTCTCCTTGTTGCATTTTTATATATATTTCTTTATATTGGTACTGCACATTGGTGATGACTGTAATGTGTTATTTTAAAACGTATGTGTCGACATCTGTTATACTTGTTGAATTTGAATTTTGTGTCCTCTCATTCAAAAGTAGAATGAAATTTGTATCCTTTGTTTCACTTCACCTCAGCAAGTGTATGGGTGGAGGGACCTTAGTCAGGCAGAGGTAATCTGCCTTTAGTCCCTTCAACCTAGGCAATCATTGTTTTTGTCTGAATGAACAGTGAATGAATGAATGAAAGTCGCGCAGAAAGGTTAGCAGCTACGCACGTTGTTCGGAGAAGACCACTTGAGGCCGTAAACGAAAACACCTGAACGGTACCGAATGCCCCAGGTTGACCCAAAACATCGTCGCCATCAGAGCTTGAACATGAGGTGCTGTCCGCTCAGGACTCGGAGCTCGTCATCGCTCAGTACAGGTGTGGTTGTAAGATAGTTTCGAGCAGAACGCGTTGCTCCCGGTGCTGATTCGCACCTTTGCGTGCGTGACGACGACGCCATAAGAGTGACTAGTGACGCTGGATTTCCATGCCTGCGTCTGATATAACAATACAAGCGAAACCGAAATTGTTTGAAAACGAGCTGAAAAGGCCACCTCCACGCGTTATCTATGTGGCAGACTTTCGGAAATAACTTTTGTGGTATAAATCTTCTCCGATTGCAAACAACAGCTATACTAACTATATATATTTCAAGCAATTATTACTCCTTAACACTATCAGATTGCAAATATGACGCAATATTTTGATATTTGGCGTGCCAAACTTTTGTTTCCACAATTCTTATGTTACTGAAGCATAAGCACGAGCAGCATGCATTTCTCTCAAGTGAAACAGCCAAATGCATTTTCCCAACACACGCAGATTGGTGTCCCGAAAGCTCTGTCAAAATCCCTGTTGCCAGAATGGGCGTATTCAAATTGATTCTGAACGTTCAGTGGCTAGAATAACTATACTAGGAAGTTCTAGATGCACGAAAAAAAATCTAAACATGCAAAAAACGGCCATCCAAAGTATCAATCCCGCCCCGCCGCGGTGGTCAAGTGGCTAAGGTACTCGGTTGCTGACCCGCAGGTCGCGGGTTCAAATCCCGGCTGCGGCGGCTGCATTTCCTATGGAGGCGGAAATGTTGTAGGTCCGTGTGCTCAGATTTGGGTGCACGTTAAAGAACCCCAGGTGGTCAAAATTTCCGGAGCCCTCCACTACGGCGTCTCTCATAATCATATGGTGGTTTTGGGACGTTAAACCCCACATATCAATCATCAAAGTATCAATCCCCAGTGATCGATTTGAATAGGCATGGTAATGAAAAAGTACTTCGTATCATTGTTTTGCATGTACGACCCCCGTAAAATATGATAGCTTTTGGCGATCTGTGTCACAGTCTGTTACGTCATGACAACAACACATACGAAGACAACGCGCGTTTTTAGAATGATGTTCTCAGCACAAAGTTACGCTCAGGAACGAATAACACTGCAAATGTGAGTGTTTTACCCTTTTTTCTATGACATCACACAACGGAGCCTACCAAGAAGAACAAGGCAGCGTTTTGTGGGCAGCATTTCGCTTCGTCTTTGTACGCTGTTTCTTGACTTAGTCACTTCCAAACAAAACGGGAATTAGCTGGCAACCGCTTCCCCTGCAATTTCCGAGAGCCGTCCACAGAATAACAAAGGTTAAGATAGGGTGAAAGAGAATGAGAACACCCATACTTTGTTACCACGCCGGCATGCGATATGGGCCTGCCACGCAGAGTGTATCTCCCTATCTCTACGCACCTCTGCAAGCGGTGTCCTTTGTAGCGTGGCAACCGATATCGCGAAACCAGAGTGGCCGTGCTCCTGACTCGCATCACTGTGCCCTGGTTTGGAAATATCCGGCGATGTATGCGTTAAGGCCGGGCTAGCCATCGGGCGCATGTGGCGCGACTGCCGCAGTGGCCAGCAAAAAGCCGACTGCGCATTGTAGGCAAAATAAAAGCGGACAAACTTCGTGGGCATAGGGTTGTAAAGGGTGAGGTAGGGAAGGGTGATGCGAGCTGTGAAAGTCACTTCCAAAGTGCTCTGGGTGGCCGTACCAGTGCTATACGGCGCTTTGCCGCGGTGTCGGGCCCGCAATAGACCAGTGGCTTGAACGAACGGCGTGAAGCGCATTTCAGAGTGGGCCGTCAACTGCGCTGGTATTGCGAGAACACCGCGCGCGGCCAGTGAATACAAACGCTCTGCGCTGCTGCCGCGCTCCGCACGAACGCTGGAGCAAAGCGCGCCGTGTTAGGGAGGGTCGTAAGAATCGCGTAAACACATAAACGGGCAGCGGCGGGGGCTTTGGCGCGGCAGTTTCGTTTCTATCAGACGTGACGCGCACGTTTTGCAGCGCGTAAATCTTGTTTGCGCGGCCTCAGCGCGCGGGCGGTTATGATTTATACATGGGGCCCCTCGTAACGAGCGAGAGCGAGCCCAATGCCATGTGTGTCCACGTTGTTTGTGGCAGTTGGTTTCAGTGCGATCTTTCAACCAGCAGCCACGGACGATCGGCCAGAAGTTTTGGGTTGTTGTTCTATTGTCATGTTCTATAGCTCACTTTGTTTCCTAGCTGGCCTGCCAGAGAGATCACCACAATAGCAGGGTCGTTCGTTATGCAGGGCTGGGCGTACTGTGGCAGTCTTTACTATATCGAATCGCCTAGTGAGTATATGGTGTGCAGGTGTTTCAAGGCTGGTTGCGAACGATGATGCGCTTATTCTGAGCATAATTCTGACTGAATATCGTATATCAATACATTGCCGTGTCTAGGCACCCACCTTGCAGTTGCGGAAGACGTGGATAAAAATTTACGGAATCGTATTGCATTCGCAGCAGACTACAGGGAACGTGGTTTTACGGGGCTTCGTTTTATACCGATTTACTTACTATTATCTGTATAAAGGGCATGGGGCGGAATACATAGACAACAGGTAAGAGTGACCGGAATGTCGGCAGGAAGGCACTTCTACATATTCTGCAGGAGCTCACTGTGGCAAGAAGTAGCCGTAAATTTCAGCAAATGACATATCAGAGGTGTCATGCTCCCGCGCAGAACTTTACACAATCCACTTTCAATGCAATATGCCTACAAGTGACGCCGATCTGCGGATTCTGCCGGCTTAAAGTCAAGGAATGGTGTCTTGCTTATACTTGAAGCCTCGGTAGCACATTTCTGCGTTCATGTGAAAGGTTACGTATAGGGCAATGTGAATGCGTGCACTCGGTTTCTAGTATGCTTGAGTTCAGCATTGATGATCCGTATTGTATGGAACAAAAAAATCGTTGGAACTAGATGGCTCTTAGATGGGAGCCCAGTACAGGAATCTGCCGGAAATCAAAGTTTTACCTTCGTCGTTCTCATGTGTCCGGGGCTAACTTAGGAGTCCTTTAGCTATACGCCGCACCATGTTTATGAACAATATAAACTCACGCCCCTCTCTCTTTCTTTTTTTTACTCGCCCGTTTCTCTTTTCATGAGTGGAGTAGCAAATTTAGCAAAGTCTAGTTAAACCGCCTGCCTTTTCCACATTCCCCTCTTTCTCTTTTTACATGCGCTGCATACAGTTACAAGGAGGTGTATCACACGACACACACGAACATGTTCTGTTTCATACCCACCGAGAGGTCAGTCAAGGATGTCCGTCTCGTACTCTCGCTCATCGCCGAGCCCCTCGTCCGGCGAATCCCTCGCGCCGGGAGACAGCGGATTGGCCACGATCGCCGGGGGCCGCTTCCTGGTCGCGCACACCTGTTCGTGCCTCGGCGCACCGGCGGACACGCGCAGCGCGTCAGTCACCACGTCGCTAGCGCCACCTTGTTCTTCCTCCTTGTTCGCGCCGCGGCACGCGCGCAGGGTCCTATACTCGCCACGCAACACGGCCGCCACGATGCCCGACTTGGCCGTCGACTGCTTCTTGTTGGAGTTGAGCAGGGGAGCCGGACTCCCGGACTGCTCCTCGGAGTTGGCCTGCAGGCTCCCGGCGTCCGAGGACCGCTGCTTGGACTCGAGCAGGAGAGACTCGAGCCGCATCTGCGTCTCCTTGGCGGCCCGAGGCCCCCTGCTCACGGGCCTGCGCACAGCCAGCAGGCACGCCGAGGCGGCGACTAGGGCGAGGAGCAGGAGTAGGCCTAGCACGATGCCGACTATCTCGGGCGCCGACAACGCTGCGAGGTCGGCCGAACGCGGTCGCACTATGAGCGTCACGTTGGCGGTCTGGTTGCCGGCGCGGTTTCCCGCGGCGCACACGTAGCGTCCGCTGTCCTTGAGCATCACGTTGATGATGGTGAGGGTGCTCGTCTGCTGGCGGCGGCCATTTTGGCTGGCCCGCAGCAAGTACATCTGGCGCCCGAAAGATATGAGCGACAGGTTGACGATGACGCGGCTCCTCCAGAGCCACCTGACGTTGGCGGCCGGCAGGGAGTTGATGTCGCACTGCAGCGTGGCGTTCTCGCCTTCGACGGCGCCCACGCGCAGCTCGCTGGCCGCCACTCGAGGCGTACAGGCGAAGTCGTCCGGTTCCAGCTGGCTCCAGAGGCGCCGGGCAAGCCTGGGTGGCCCTTCGCAGCGAGGCGGCACCGAGAGCGGCACGTTGCGCTGGTGCATCCACTGCCGAAGGTTGCGCAAGTTGCAGTCGCAGTGCCACGGATTGTCGCTCAAATCTAGCGAGTGCAGAGGCGGCAGTGTGAGGCCGTCCGGAGGCAGGGAGCGCAACCGGTTGCCGTCGAGTCGAAGTACCTGAGCAAACAAACGTCAACACTGTTGCATACAGAGACGTGGCTATAGACCAAAGAGACTGCCAATCCAATAACCAGTAATTAGTTTTGACAACTATGTATTAACAAAATAAGAAAGGTTAAAAGAAATTCAGCTGAAGGAATCGGACAACTAGTGAAATGTGTCTGCAGCAGAGGCAACAAAAATAACTGCTCATAGACTACCGTACACTTTAGAAGAGGAAGCATGCTGCAGTGTTAGAGCAAGCAGGAGTTAAGTGGCCATGTAAAATGCGTCAAATGAAACCCGAACAGCGGCAAGCATTTGCCATGGTAACAGAATAGAAAGGTGGGCTAGTTGGTAGTTCCTGATCAATCAGCGAACTGGGAGCGTGGGCGAACACACAAGAAGCAAAAAGGCAGAAAGCCCGAGCGCTCACTGGTTTAATTTTCACGTTCGAAAGACAAATATGTGCACAAGGGTGCGCATGTCAACAAGAATATGGCTGCAGTACAAGCAGCATGCGAAGTGTTCAGTCGAAGCACTTTTCTACGAATTATCTATATAATTGAACGCACAGCTATGTAGTGATAACGAAGGATGGCTGATACTCTAATCCGTATTTCTGGAAATGTGATACGCTTCATAAATTTCACGCGTAGTTTAAAGCGGATGCCGAGAAAGAACACTTGCTTTTATTTTAAATGATGGTTTCCATTTGCAGCTAGCTATTGCCATGCGAATCTAAAATGGAATATAGCGTACACTAAAAAAAAGCTCCTATGTTCTCTGGGGCGTAGATTCAAACATCGGTCAGTCTGTACAATGTACATGCGGCCACTATTCACGGGTATGTTGTATATCACTCCTGAAAGACACGTTACAAACTGTTTTGTGTGTTTCTGAAGACATCCTCTGCATTTGGACGCGCCCTGTGCCCTCCTATGCACCATGGCACAATTACGGCTCAATTTATTGGATGCAGAGAAAACAACGCACCCGCCCAAACCAGTTCTCTACATTTTTTAGACCGTGTACCATTTTATGAATCTAAAAGATAACAGCGCGTTTGTGTCCTTCATTGCAGTCTGCATAAATACATGTACAATTTTTACTGTTTTTACCATCCGCAGAAGCCTTTCACATACCGTTGCAGATGACGGCGGAGTGTGCGCAGCATCTCATAACCGCCCTTCGTTCACTGCCTGATTAAAGCTGCATTCATATGCTGCGCTATAGTTTCGTAGCACAGCTATGACGGTTATTAGATGCTGGGTACCTTCCGTATTTAGTTGCATCGCTATGTGAAAGGCTTCTGCGGATGGTAAAAAACAGTAAAAAACGTACATGTATTTATGCAGAATGTAATGAAGGAAACAAACTCGTGACCATGATCCCTTACATCCATAAAATCGCGCACGGGTGAAAAAATGTGGGGAGCTGGTTTGGTTTGCGCGTTTTTTTTTTCTGCACCTAATAAATTGGGCCGTGCATGTGCCATGGTGCATAGGAGGGCACAGGGCGTGTCTAAAGACAGAGGGTGTCTTCAGAAACATGCAAAAAGTTTGTAAAGTGTATTTCAGGAGTATTATAGAACATACCCGTGTTTTGTGGTCACATGTACATCGGACAAAAGTGGCCGATGTTTGATTAAATGCCTCAGAAACCATAGCAGTTTCTCGATGTGTACCACATACTCCATTTTAGTTTCGTATTGCGACACCTGCAAATGTGAACAGTTTTTTTTTTTTTTTTTTGAAAAGACAAGTGTTCTTTTTCAGCATCCGCCTCAAACTGCGCGTAAAATTTCTGAACCGTATCAACTTTTGAAAACCAAGAATCAGTGTATCAGCCATTCTTCACATGACTGTGCGTTTAACTATATAGATAATTCATAGACAAGTGCTTCGACTGAACGCTTTGCATGCTGCTCCTATACTGTCGTCATATTCTTGTTGACGTGTGCATCCTTGCCTATATACGTGTTTTTCGAACGCGAAAAACAAACCAGTTGTTAGTGAGCACTCGTCCTGTGTGCCTCTTCGCTTCTTGTGTGTACTCCGCCGCGCTCCCAGTTTGCTGAACGATTATTCGTCATGTTTATAGGGCACGCCTACCAGTCATCTCCACTGAGAGGCGCGTGCATCTGGTTTGGTAGTAGGCTACTCCGCTTATGCACACCTGTTCATGGTGATAACTAGACTGCACGCATCATACCACTACGCATGCTGGGCGCTGTGCGGGTTTCATTAGGTACAAACAGCATGCCCCCAACGTCAAAGGGCAAGCTCAGAAGGTAAAGATTCCATCCGACAGGCTTGATATTAAATATTTAAATTTTAAGCCTATCAGCTTACAAACACAGCTGAATAGATAACGTGATGCCATAACCGGGTATCTCTCATGATAGGTAGCATATTAACATATTGGTACTTCATCTGAACGTTCTGTCAGCTACACATAAAAAGTGGTCACTCACGGAACACTGATTACCAACAAGCAGCCTTGAAAATCGTATGGAAAGATCATAATTGCAATATTTACAATTGTTGGTTGTCTTTAGTTCAATTTGGCTCATTTTACTTGTTGTCTAGTATGAAAAAACGAACGCTAGTAAATATTCATGAAAGTTTAAGCCCCCCATCTTTATCATTATATCGGTGGTTTCTTAGTCCACTTGTTTATCCAAATACATATCAAGCCAACATATACTGGTTGTATGTTGGCTTCATATGACAGGGTCGATTAAAATTGTGGCATTCGCTTACTATTCTTCCCGTTCACCTCTTAACGCTAGAAACGTCCCAAAAGAATAATTTTCGACGTATTGCAGCAAACCAGGGAGGTATACATTTGCGACTAAGTTTTCCTTGTGAATGGGTGTACGTGAAGGCGTTCGTTTAGAACCAGTCAATCTGTAAGCAAAATCACAACTTGTGACGCATAATAGTGACTTCGAGAAATATCTAGGCACCCTGAGCACCACTAGCAGAAATAACAAACACTAGAAAAGAGCGAGAAAGCGCAATAAACGCGTTTTTTTTTCTGCTGGTGGTGCTTAAACGTCTGTATTTTCGTCGAAGTTTTGTACCACTAGTCCAACAACAAGTTGTGCTGCTACACGAGCGTGAGTTGAAGTAGCGACTCAGTACCTCTAGTGAGTGGAGATCAGCGAAGACACTCGTTTCGAGCCAGGCGAGCTGACACTGACTGAGCTCGAGCGAGACGAGACTATGCAGCCCTCGGAAGCTGTGGTCACCCAGCCTCTGGATGGGGTTGGCGCTGAGCTGCAGTCGTCGCAGGAGCGGGCAGTAGGGCGCCAGCTTGGGAACGGCCGTGAGGAAGTTGTGGCTCAGGTCGAGCTCGACGAGATTGTTGAGGCCCCGGAAGGCGTCGTCCGCCATGAGCACGATGCCGCAGCGCGACAGGTAGATGCGCTGCAGGTGCACCAGGCGCGCCTGCTGGAAGTGGCCTCCCGGCAGCGTCTTGAGGACGTTGCCCGTCAGGTTGAGCACTTGCGTGTCGCCCGGCAGGTGCTGCGGCACGCTGCCCGACAGGCCGGCGCACTCGGCGGTGCGCTTGCCGCCGCTCCACTTGCAGCTGCAGGCCGACGGGCAGCTGCCGCCATGCGGCGTGCCTCCGGCGACGGCCATGATGAGCAGTGAGAGGAGGAGGGCACTCGGAGAGGGTCGAGACGAAGTCCGCCGGTGCATCCTCGGCGAGCCCCCGTCAAGGGACCCAGAGATGGCCCGACGCCGCCGCGGCCATCGGTGGAATACTCGGCCCGGGCTGTCTACATGGCCTCCTCGCTGGAGGCCCCGTCGTCAGCTTCCCTGGTCACCGGACGCGGAGAGTTCGCCAAGACCCGCGTGATGCATCATGGCGCACCGGACTTGCCACGTCAGCGGCTTGATGGCGCCCGATTAAGCTGAGTTCGACTTCGTTGCTCGTCAGCTGCTGTCGGGTAGCGTCCGACGGGCATTTCATGACTGGGTGATTGAAGCAATAGCATGGTGCTGGGATACACATTCGAGTTTCTTGTTTCATCTCACTTTGAAAAGGATGTCGGACATGGCGGAGTTGTGTTTTCGTAGTATGGAAAGTCAAGCAGCGTCTCTGCTCTCACAGAGCGACCGCCGGAGACCTGAATAGAAACAAATATGCACAGTCAGACCGTTATTAATTTGATAATGACATCTATAGTGAGATCATTACTGAAGGCGATTGCCTCTAGAACTATAGAAGTTAGGAAGTAGCGTCCTAGGTCTGTGTGAAGGCGATACCCCACCACCTTTTTTTTTCTTACTTCTTCGTTTATTATATAACAGCTACTGCGAAAACCCTGGATAGTTTTTTAAGTAAGAGAAGCTGTTGGGGTCTGTTTCCCTCCTCGAACATGGAGGTTAAAAATAAACACACCACGCAACACCACTGTCACAGCTTAATTCTTCCGGTCACTGCAGATACCTCAACTGATTTATCATTAGTTTTTTTTTATCTTTACATACAAGGTGCACCTTAAAGAACCCCAGGTGGTCGAAATTTCCGGAGCCCTCCACTACGGCGTCTCTCATAATCATATCGTGTCCCAGGTTTGGGACGTTAAAACCCCACAAATCAATCACTCAACCTTACGTTACAGAATGCATGTTCGCACAAGTCATTCATCTAGACGATGCAGATAACCCGGCACACGGGGGCATTGTTTTAGAACCTTCAAAAAAAAAGGCGCACCTACGTGCAGAGAAACGGCTCAGTTGATGAGGGGTTGGATCAGATAGGCACGTTGCAAAGCGGCGCTAACACGTACTTTGACCACCCGTGCGAGCATGAGCGCCCGACACACGTGCTCAACGGGAGGCTCACAAAAAAAAAAAGAAAAAAGAGGGGGTAGGGGGGGTGCAGCAGGCTCAGACTCTCGGTGAAGCACGCCGACAGCCTCCCAGTGACTCTTTCGGCGCGGAACTATCAGCGGGCGCTTCGCGATGCCGTAAAGACGGAAGAAATGGGCCTCGCCCGCTGTGTGCGACGCGCATTCACTTTGAATGAAGGTCGCGCGGCACTCGGGAGAGAGCTGCTCTTGTCCGTCGTTCCTACCCTCACTCGCCAACCTCCCGCGCATCGTCAGCATTGTCTCGCCACGGTTCTTTCTTTCTTTTTCTTTTCGCGCGGTGCGGAGCGCTGTCAATAAAACAAGAGCCGTGCCCCATCGTTTCACGTGTGCGTTCGCGGTGCTGGCTCACGGAGTCGCACGGAGCACCCCGTTTTCTCCTGTCTGTATCGGATGCGAATGTAGCACACGGACTCAACAGCGGTGCATGGAGAGGTGGAGGCGCGATTCAAGAGCGGCAGTACAACGGCGTAAAAACGAAATTGCGAAAAGGTTTGACGACCCCATCGCCTGCATGTCTGAGCAAAGGTAACTTTGCCGTAATTTAAGAGCATAGACGACGTGCACTTTTTGCTCGCCCGACAAAAAAAAAAAGAAAACTACAAGACCAAATAAAAGCTGCCATCTGTTTTTAAGGGAGTGCGCCCAGGTCACTCACCTGTCGTGATGACATTTACAACTTAGTCCAGTGAGATTTCAACCGATACCTGTTCTTGTGTTAAGTATAAAAATAACGAAAAAAAGGGGGGGGGAGGTTAATTTGCGTTGTGATGACTCCGCATCGTTGGGCTTGTCATACCAGCAACCTGGCAAAATTGACGGCGTGCCTTGTGCCTCCGGGTGACATGCCCACGCCATCTCAGGCACTTTCTCTCTCTCTCACACAAACACACTCTCTCTTTCGTATAGAGATGGCCAGGCTAGACTTGGCTCGGTTCGACTGTGCTCTCACACCACCGCCTCTGTGTTACCTTCTGGGCTTCTATCGCTTTGTTTCGGCCGCTATTTACCGTAAAGACAGAAAAGAGGGTGCGCAGTATACCTTTGTACCTTCGAAGAACACCGGATTTATCACTCCTGGGGTCCCTATACGCACCAAGCTCTTCGCACACTGCCGTAGGCAGCGTGTTTTTTGCGGCGCTTTCTCTTTCTCAGTATAGGCTTCTCGAGAATTCGCTCGTATATATGCGTTCACGACGAGCTCGGGGGGAAATGGGTTTTTCTCGAGCAGTCGGGCACTAAAGGCGACGAAAGCTCGTTCTTGCTAGCGAGCTAGCGTTTAAAAAAACGAAACTCCTCTTTGATTGAGAGTTTTGACGTTAAAGCTCGAAAGGCGAGTGGACTAGAACGTGGAGCTCCGAGCGCACCCCAAGGGCATTAAAAAAAGAGGGGGGGGGGGGGGAGACTCGCTTCGATGACTATACGACGGTAATGCGACGGAATACACATTACGGCTGCGACCTCGATCACGGCCTCACTTGGCTGGTGCCATAAGTTCGCTATGGAGCAGCGTAGGCGTTATGTGTATAGTACGCCGCGAAGAGGCTACGCGGCACTGCGTGAGCTTCTGACGGGGAGCGTAACCCGATGCTTTTTTGTGTTTTTTTTTTCAGTCCACTGTTTCGCGAGAAACTTTCCGATCGAGCCGAACTTTTTTATTCTCTGGCCGTGATTCGGACGCTCCACAGTGCTTTGCAGCAGGTCGATGTCTAATAAGGCTTCCCGTAGCAACGCTATATTCTCCCTCACCCTCTTTAGGTTCGCCTCTCTAGAGCAGTCTATGGCTTCCGTGCTTGAGTTTAGAAATGCACGGTGCGCGAAACTGCTGCGAAATAAATGGAAGAAAAGTATAGGAAACGAAACGAGTTAAATTTGGTAGTCATCGTAAACCAGGCATGAAAAAAAAAGTGTTTCTATCTAGAGTACGCCAGACTCAATTTTCTTGTATTACTAGGCAGGGCTTCGCGTTCCAAACACCAAACTTTGGCTTTCCTAACTTTACGAGCTCTATAGTGAGAAAGATGAAAGCGAACTTTATATTATAGCCTGAACGTTGCTAAATCCGGCACTCAAGTAAACACAAGGTGGCCATGATATTAAAATTTGAAGCCATTGGTGTACAATGTCGTAATTTCTCTGTTCTTTCTAATCATGATATGAGCACTCAAGGCAATGTAGAAGATTGCGCTGTTGTTCGGTAGAGGTTCGCGTGTGTATTGAATATCTGGTATTGAAAGAAAGAACGGGATATGTGCGAAAAAGTGCTAGCGCAAAGATACGAGTCCTCTAAATCTAGGGACATATTCGAACTTGTAGTGTCCAGTTGTTTGGCGTTTCAGTAAAATTGCCATAAAAATCGTCGGAAGAGTCGAATTGCTTCTTCTTACTTGTCATTAAAAGATTTTTCTTTCTTTCATTCGATTGTTTTTTTTTATTTCGTTGTGTATTGTGCGCTTGGCGTAACGCACATTGGAGTTTAGTCGTTATACATGCTGGACCATGCTGCTTTGGCTGAAGTTTATATGACAGTATCAGTAACATTGTATACAGGTCACAACTCCCCATTGCAAAAAATTTCCCCCCGATTACGCTATTCGCTAATCCGAACCCTGATCGCTGCTTCATGTTGAAGCAAGGCCAACAGTGTTTAAAGTTTTGGCTATCCGAAGTAGGGGGGGGGGGGGGGAGGTAGCGAGATAGCATCTCTTAAATACTGCCTCGAAAATACCAGCGTTCGAGTGCTACGCGCACCACTGTGTGCGCGAAACCAAGCCAAAACGCCGGCAGCACCGCCACGACAAGTGAAGCCAGCCGCAGTTGACGTGGCAGCCGCGCATGCGCGCAAGCTCCGACCAAAGGCCCAGCACGTGGCGGAGGAAAAGAGCGAGATCAGTGCCCAGTGGCTTTTATTCTCGTTCGCTATATGAGTTACGCCGACGCCAGCCAACAATGCCGACGATGCTCCACGCAAGAACGAGTGTCTAAAAGCTGGGTTCTTAAAAAAATGATAGCAACAGTTAGAACATTTCACCAATCAAACGAATAACCCGTCAGCTATACACTCGTCAGGAATTCGCGCTACATAGTTTTCGCCTCCAGTAACCAAGTCGCCCTGCATAATTTATGTTACGTATAACAAGACTCGAAATAGCAGCCTTTGAACAATTCCGAGTGCGAATGCTCTGTTGCGAGGTTCCTAGTGAATTGATTTATGAGACATGCACCCTCGCTGGGTGTTCCGAATCGGGAGGTTCGCAAAGAAAGAAACGCGGGTGCAGAGTCATTACCGCCAGGTGGCGGGTCGCCACACGTCCACAAAAAACTAAATAACTTTCCGGCCGTCGATAACGATGGCGACGTGGAAACATATGTTAAAAAATTGAGCCTTTCCTGTGTCACTCTCTTTAACGTCTTCGTTACATTATCACTTCTACATACAATGTGCATGTGTCAGATACTTCGAACTTGAATATAGTTTACTCCTGTAGAGCCAGTGGACCAAATCTGGGCTGTCCAGTGAGCCAGGGCTATCACTGAAGACATCGCACGATGCTCAGCGGACGACAGCTCTTGGAGGCCTAGCCCGGGCCAGTAATTCCTCGTTGGATCCTAATGAGGTTTATTACCTACCTACCTGTAAAGCGTGTTATGCCTGTATGGCAATACTGAAGGAAAAAAAGCATACTTTAAAGCAAGGTTATTTTCAATATTTATTTAATCATTTACGAAGCTCATGCGGGAGGCCGTGGACAAACATTTTAAAAAAGTGTGTATGTCCCCTGTAACTCTTGATAATCTCTCCGTTACTTTAGTACTTCTTTGTTACACATCTTATGTACATGCGACAGGTACTTCAAACTGATTTTTTTACTCCTGTAAAGCGTGTTTTGCTTGTTGGGCAGCACTTCAGTGCAAAAAACAATAGTTTGAAACCAGGTTATTTCAAGTATTTATTGATATATCAGATTACA